GCCTCATGAGCGGAGGTCCGGCCCCACGGGGCTCTGGCCACCCACCCTCCCGTCTCACTTCAGCCCGGGGCTGTCCCGGGAGCCATCGTCGGGTCTGCTCACCATCTGCAGAGGCTGGCCCAGCACGAGCCCGTGCAGACGTAGCAAATGTGGGTGCTCCAGGTTCATCATGACCGACACCTCTCGAAGGAAGTCCCTCAGCTCTGTGCCCACCGAGCCTTCGGCAGCCACCCGGAGGGACTTGACAGCCACTGGGACCTGGGGGTGTGGGAGAAGCACCATCAGGCCTCGCAGGGAGAGCTGCACCAGGGCCAGAGCAGAGAGGGCAGCAGAGCGAGGGGCAGCTGGCCCAGGCACCCGGAAGGAAGCAGGCCCCCGAGTACTCACGCTCTGACCGCTAGGCAGTGTCCACAGCCCGCGGTGCACCACACCAAAGCAGCCGGAGCCCAGCAGCTCCCCTCTGCACACAGCACCATCTGGGATCAGACACTTGAGTCCTCCCTCTGGCTCAGGAAGGGATGGAGGGTTGTCTGAAGGTGGGGTGGTCTCCTTCTGCTCAGGGGCAAACCCCCCAAGGATCTGAAACAGAGGTGGGAAATCAGGGGTGTGGCAGCCTGCAGACCCCTGCCACTCAGCACAGCCCATTCCCCAGCCCCTTAAACCTCTCATCCCCGCCCCAAAACACACACCTTGTAGACCCAGTTCTTAGGCTTGTGCCCTAAACGGTGCCTCTTCAGAGCTTCAGCCAGTCTGCGCTGGGCTGGGGGAGACCAAAATGAAAGGGCTGGGTGGTATGGAGGGGGGCATGATGCAAGGAATTTAAAGGTAAGAAGAGGGCTGGTGTGGGAGGGGCATAGGGGTTGTAGCAACTAACAGGTTGGGGAGAGAGAGACGAGGGCCTCGGGGCTAGGGGTGCCCACCTGGCCGGCCCATGCCAATGCTGTCCAGATCCTCAGGTCTCACAAAGTCGAAGTGCTCTGGCCGGGTAACATTCAGCTCCTCGAGTATGGGTCGGTAAAACTGGGCCAGCTGGGTGTCCCGGAGGAGCCTCAGCAGCCACGGGGCGCCCGCCTCCGGGAGCATGTCTGGAGAAGGAACTCAGGATGGTACGCTCTCCTCCAGACCCAGAGCCCGGGGTAGGCACCTGAGACACCCAGACACCAGGGATGTGGTCCCCAGCTCCACCCTCCGCCATCAGAAACCCTCAGGTATAGAAGGAGGGACACATCAGAGACAGATGTCCTCCACTCACACACACACACCCCAGGAGGAATGCTCCCCATGCCTGAGACCGAGGCCTCTACCCCGTCACTGAGAAACCTGCCTCCTCCACACCTGAGACCTCACCACTGCAGACTCCAGCTATGTTTCCCTGCTCACTCCCGAGATATGGCACAGTGCCCTGTACCCCTAGGACACCCAGACACACTGCCTTTTCAGACCGAGACACACCACTGCACACCCTCATATACACCCGAGACTCCTCATACACACACGAGACATTTTGACCTACCACAGGCATACCAGAGATGCCCAGATATGCTAACCACACCATACCTCAGAACCTCAAACATGTAGGCACACACACACACACACACATACACACACACACGTGTGCACATACACACAAAGGTACACTGCCTCCCCACACACACACACACTGACACATTCTAGTACATGTATGCTGCCATAAAACGCCCAGGCTTACTGCCACATACCCTCTCACATACATGTAGTTGAGACAGGGCAGTTCCCTGCCCCCCTAGACATCGCCCCACAGCACCCAGGTCCACGTAAACACACACAACATGCAAGGCATCGAGGTCCAGTGTCCACAGACACCTGGTTCTGCAGGCAGACTGCCCCTCAGCCCGGAGCGTTCAGGTCACTGCCTCTCCCGCACGGGCGGCAGCAGCACCTGAAATCCATCAGGCCTGGATCTAAGCTCGGATACTTCCTAGGCCACCTCCCCGGCAGCAGCGAGCCCTGCGTGCGCACCTGAGTCACTCTTACTCAGCTTCGAGCAACTCCTCCAGCCTTAGGAAACCAGGCTCCGGGCACTCTGGGCGCGGGCCGCCAGCACAAACAAACTCCCCGCACACACCTGCACAAACAAACTCTTCCTTTCAACACACACACAGTGAAGCCGGGAGGAAGCGCGGGACCTCGCGCTGGGACCTCGGGGGTGGGCTGGGGACGAGGCGCGAGCAAGGGCCCAGGGCGGGAAGGAGAAGGCCAGATCTCTCCATTCTCTCTCCCTCCGGGTCACCTGGCGGCCGGGACCGCTGGCCGGGTGAGAAGAGGAAAGCGCGCGAGGGGACAGGAGGGAAAAAGGACCGAGCAGGGGAGGGGGAGGCGGGCAGGCTCAGCCCCAGCG